GCGCTGTCATCCTCTCATACTGACACCTGAGACCACACATACACACAGTAGGGAGAGCCGGACGAAAGTAACAAACAACTTTGACCGGCCAAATTCGTCAGAATTATCAGCATTCAATACTTAACAGACCTACTAAATATCAGGTTTAACTGTCAGGAGTAGTGTTGTCACGATACCAACATTTTGGTTTCGATACCAAGTCAAGAATTGCAATTCCGATTCTTTTTCGATACTTTTACTTAAAAAAAGGGAAACAGTCTTAAATGTAATTATTGTGCTTTATTTCACACCAGAACCATAACACAAACTTTTAAACAATGAGAACAAAAAATAAAATAAATGACAAGAATTCGTATTAAATACAATACATTTCTTACAGACAGGCCTCGTGGTGTCCGTAGGCTTGCCCTCACTGTCAGAGATATAGCTAAAATAAAATCAAAATTTCGCTTCTGGCAACAAGCCGAGGCGCATCGGCAGTTGCACTCCCACTTGCAGCCATGCTTCTCGTTTTCTCACATGCTCTGGCAGCTAGCGCGTGCACGAGAGAGGGGAGGGGCTTAGAGCGTGCTTGAGAGGGGAGGGACTGCAGGCACGGCTGCAGTGCACGGAGTGGAAGCAGAGCGCTGAACACACACGGCACTTATTAAAACGGCGCTTTCTCACCGGAGTACATTTTCCCCGTCATTCTTAAAGTACTGATACTAATGAAACGGAGGAATCGTAACGTTGTTAACGGCAGGGTATCGCGGTATACCTTTCAAGTATCGGTACACCGTGCAACATTAGTCAGGAGTCAGTGTCTCTCCCCCAAACTCACACATATAAAATTCGATATGAACTGAAGAGCCGCATGAAACTAGGCAAAGAGCCGCGGGTTGGCCACCCCTGCTCTATGGAGAGAGACATATGACAAGCATGCTCATTTCTGACGTGGAGCTAATCTGAAGTAAACATTGAATACTGCTTTCTATTCCTCCATCTTGTGACTGTGGAACTCCCTCTCTTGGATATCAGCATGTGAAGGACACTGTTCAGGAACTAGTTGATGCTCTGTATGTGATGACTACTTCCATTCTGGAGAGGATCACAGATACATGGATCCTGAGACTGAAGCTCAAGCCGGGGACCAGGGAGAGTTTTCTAACAGATGTGTATGTTATTGTATTTCATCGAGTCTCTCTCTCCCCCCTCAGGCTGGTACTGGGGCGGTCTGACGGCGAACGAGGCCAAAGAGATCCTTCAGGAGACGTCTGAGGGAACCTTCCTGCTGCGGGACTCGTCTCAGAGCGACTTCCTGTTCACCATCTCCGCCATGACGTCCGCCGGGCCGACCAACCTGCGCATCGAGTTCAAACACGGCAAGTTCAAGCTGGACTCGGTGCTTCTGGTTCGTCCGCGACTACGCACCTTCGACAGCGTGGTTCACCTGGTGCAGCATTACATCACGCTATCCAGGTCCGGAGACCGCGCGGCGAGGAGCTCTTCGTCTACGGTGAACTCTTCGTCCTCCTCTTCGTCCTCCTCTTCGTCCTCCTCTTCCTCGGTGCAGTTGTTGTTGACGCGCCCGGCGTACACGTCCTTGCCGCCACTACAGCATCTGTGTCGCCTCGCCATCAACAGCCGGACGCCACAGGTTCAGGACCTGCCGCTACCCAACAGACTGAAGGACTACCTGAGGGACTACAGCTATCACGTGTAGCCCAGCTGGTGGGTTAGCACGTTAGCTCGGCTGCTAAGATAACGCCTCTGTGATGCTCTCCAGCATTTGAAACAGGAAGTCAGGTAACCAATAACTCCTCAGATCCTCTTCTTCACTCTCTGAAACACAGAAGGCGTCTCTGACTCACCTGGAGGTCCTTTCTTCTTCTCTGGCTCTTTAGCGCTTATCGAGACGTTGAGTTTGACGATTTAACTTAAAGTCACAGAAAATATCAGAGAGATTTTTAAACGAGCTTTAAGACGTTTACATCACGTGAACTCTCGACAGCAAGAAGTCTCATATATCTGAACCGCCTCCATTGGACTCCTTTGTTTACTTCTGGAACATAGTGACATCACTAGGGAACACTCGCGCTCCTATTGGCTAGCGCTCCAACACATTGTACGTGATAGGCTAAGGGGCGGGACATCTCTAAGCTGGTAGACCAATCACAACAGAGCCGGCCAGCTTGTGGAAATAAATGCAGGGTTATAATCGACGTTATTATCAGTTAGTGTCGGTTCATATTTGATGTGTTTATTTAAATTGAACATCAGAGGTTGTTAGAGCAACATCCTGACATTTTTATTTATTATTTTTATCCCATTAAAAAGTCCCAAAATCAATTACATTTATTTAAAAAACAAAACATCAAATGTTCATTTCTGTTGCTTCAGAAGTACGGCTCCTTTCCGAGAGCCGTTCAAAGAGCCGTTTGTTGTAAGGGGGCGGGGTCACTTGGTTTATCTGCAGAATAATCCCCAGAATAAAGATTGACTGTTTTGCCAGAAATCTACTTTAACTCTCAGAAGACGTCTAACTTGCTTCATCTCTCGAACTCCAACTCGAGCTGCGTCACGCCATCGTCTACGGCTCATGTGCGTTCAGGAGAGCGAGTCCCCGTAAAGCCGAGTGGATCTATGTCCGGCAGTGAACCAACCATAAAAAGAACGACTCGGTTCCCTTCGTTCCAAAGAGCCGTTCAAAAGAATCATATCGTTCGCGAACGTCACCTCAATCAGAAGTGAGTCGATGCGTTAGAAATAGAGAGTTACGTTGATTCAAATCAAATCAAGTTTTATTTATGAAGCACGTTTGAAAGTGATCTTTGGTCGAGCCAAAGTGCTGCACATTTAATAAAAACACTACAATCAAAATAAAGACAATCAATTACAACAGATATAGAAAACTCAGGGAGGAGTCAGGAGGAGTCAGGAGGAGTCATGAGGAGTCAGGAGGAGTCAGGAGGAGTCATGAGGAGTCAGGAGGAGTCAGGAGGAGTCAGGAGGAGTCAGGTGGAGTCAGGAGGAGTCAGGAGGAGTCAGGAGGAGTCAGGAGGAGTCATGGGCCTACTCCGCTCTGACTAGAAGGCCAGGGAGAAGAAGTGAGTCTTTAGAGTAGATTTAAAACCCCCTAGGGTCTGGGCCGACCTCACATGGAGGGGCAGAGTGATCCAGAGGGCCAGCTGAAGGCTCAGTGCCCTCAGGTTTAGAGCCTGGTCTGGGGCGCTACCAGCAGCAGCTGGTCAGCAGACCTTAAGGCTCTGGGGCGCTACCAGCAGCAGCTGGTCAGCAGACCTTAAGGCTCTGGGGCGCTACCAGCAGCAGCTGGTCAGCAGTCCTTAAGGCTCTGGGGCGCTACCAGCAACAGCTGGTCAGCAGACCTTAAGGCTCTGGGGTGTAGCGCTGGAGGAGTTCAGCTACATAGGAGGAGCCAGCCCATTCAGGGCTTTGAAAACTAATAAAAGGATTTTAAAATCAGTTCTGAACCGAACTGGAAGCCGGGGCAGTGAGGCCAGAGATGGGGTGATGTGGTCACGCTCTTTGTGTCCAGTCAGAAGACGTGCAGCTGCATTCTGCTCTAGCTGCAGGCGTCTGATTGAGGCCTGGTCCGTACCCGCGTACAGAGCGTTGCAGTAATCCAGTCTCGAGGTAACAAAGGCGTTAATAACCCTTTCCAGGTCTTTAAAAGATAAAAAGGACTTGGTCTTGGCCAATAGTCGTATTTATAAAAAGCAGGTCTTGACTACGCTGCTGACCTGCTTATCAAATCTAAAAGTGCTACTGAAGGTCACTCCGAGGTTCATGAC